GCACACCGATAAAATAAATAGAAGAAATTCAAATCCTTGAGAATCAAATTCAGCTCTAAAGTTTTAAGCCAAAATGATAGTGATTGTGCAAATTCAAACCATTCATGAGATTACACCCCAATGAATGATGACATCAAGAGAGGCAACTCTAGGGTTCGATTTGTATATGGTTTTTTCTACAAAAAGGGCTAGAGCAATAAAGTTTATATTTTAAAATACACAATTTAATTTCTTTGTTGGCAACATTGAGTAATAAAATACATCACATTCTTGTCTTAATCATTATGCTTTTCCCCCCCGAAATCAGTATGCTTTTTTATTTCTTTTGCTGGTAGATCATTCAGACTTACTGCTTAGTAGTGCTTGCCAAACAAGTCTCCCATGTTCATAAGAAAAAAGTGATACAATTGCGAACACAAAAATTGAAAAATAGAAAGGAAAAAAAATATTTGTGATTATTTGAAGATCTTAACTGCTTGATTAAGAATAATGAGCTTAAGTTCTTATCACATTAGGGTACAAGAGGAGCTATGGCGTATTTTTATGATGAGCTATGGCACTAATTGTGTTTTTTTTTTAGTACAATCGATAGTCTAAATTACAGGAGAATGAGGTTTCTCACACACACACTACCACGATGCTAAATTATAAGAGTATTGAGTATACCCTTCACCAAATTGTGAGGTTATTAAATACCAGAGGACAAGTATAAATTTTATTTCTTATTGCTTGTTACAGACTACAGTTCATGATTTCGTAGAAAAAGAAAAAACGTAGAAGAAGAAAAAAACAAAAAAGTTAATATTAAGAAATGAAAAAATAGAGAAAATAAAGACAAATTTAAGGTTTTAGGTAACCTCATTCAGTAGTCTTGTCCCTCTCTCCTCCCTCCCTTGATGACTCCATGAGATAACTCTGGATTCGATTGTATCAAGCAGCAGCACCTCCAACCAAATGCAACCAGCCAAGGTGGGGGCCACGAAAGGGAGGACTCGGAGTGTCATATCACAAGGCCCACAGCCACAAGGGAATCAAAGGAACCAGAATTTATGTTCGATTGTGATCCAATGACTATTTTGATGTGACTTAGGGTTCCTGTACTTTTGGATGCACCTGATTACTGTGTTTTTTTTTTCCTGCTTCCTTTTTCAGTCTGAAAATATAATGAATGGGAATATGGAAGCTTCGTTGAGTCTTTTTATCTTATATACAGATTCTTCCGGTCTTTTGAAATGGAGCCTTTTTCTGATTTCAAAGAGACAGATAGATAGAGAAGGTTAAAGTTGGTGGTGTGTGTGGAAGTTGTTTTACCAAAGTAAAAGGGGTCTCGTTTTCAAGGTGTCTTTGCTTTCTGGTAAAGCCTTTTAACATTTTCCATGAGATGTACCAGTAGTTGTTAGCTTTTGGTCCTCCTCTTCTTGGGCCTCTCTTTCTCATTCACCTCTCTCCTCTGCTATAAAACTACTACTTCCTTTGTTTTTCGACACATAATAAAGAAGGGCTACGGTTACGCTAGACTGACGTTTGCAAGTGTCAAGATACAAAATAATAAAATAACATTAAAAGAATTGGGGTCCACAACCGTGGCATATCAAGATCGATATCAATTTCCCAGGTTTTATATTTCATTGTCAAATTATGAATGTAATGGAGTTAAGTATTGCATAACCATATAGTAGGCGAGTAACTACAATCATGCAACCTTTGCTTAAAAGTTTTGATTCATTTAGTGGGATGCATATGATACGCTTTCAACTGTGCATAGATAAAAATATATACACTTCCCCAACAAGAACATCTCTCTAAGACTCCAACAACTGTATTTTCTTAATGCTGCAACTATGCTTTTATGCACTGATATCCCACCATTTTCTTACAATAGTATTACTAGCTAACATTAGACTAGTGGTTGCTGTTCTTGACCCACCATACGTGCCTAAAAAAGGCCGACCCACCATGGTCCATGCCCTTCGCTTATTTGTTACCTCAACTATATCTCATTATGGGACAAATAGCTAGCATAGCACATGGTTCTTCTCACTCATGTATGGGAAAAGAAAACAACAAGTTTCGTTTTGAACTATTTTGATTTGCCAACCAACGATTTGTTAACTGGCACCCAATCTTGTACCCATAAAAATAACATGTTTCATTTTCAACTATTTTGATTTGCCAATGATCAATTGGTAAAGTGGCACTCAATCTTAAGATTATTTTGTCGAAGTTCGTAAGTTCAAATCTCGTAATCATAGTTGTTGAATTAAAAAGAACAAATTTATTTTTGGCCCAAACTTTTCTTGAGCCCAATTACTCTAATTTAGGCCTAAAACCTCCAACACCACATAACCCAGACAAAAACAAATCTTGTGATGCATTTGGAATTGGCTTTTTTTTTCCTTTTTCTTTTTATCCTTTGGTGTATGTGGATGGAAAATTTACAGTTCCTGAACCGAATCCACTCCTAGAAGAAATTGTATTAACATATTTAAAGAACATTATTCTCACATACAAATCATGATGTCCAAATCCCAAAGTATACCAACAAATAATTTTGTGAATCTTTGTTTTATGGCAAGTTAATAATTCAAAATAATATCGTATTTTCTTTACAAAAAAGTAACATAATGTCCAAATGGAGTCAATGATCCCTTCCTCTTTTTTCCTTTTGGTTTATGGGAACTTATACAAATCACTAATGGTGGTCCATTTCCATTAGATACACAAGCATATACACAATTATTAGGAGCGATTACTCATAAAGTGTAGCTTCAAGCACCCACTAATTATGTATACAATGCAAAGTCGCTTGAAGATTTGTTCCATTAATTTCGACGGACCAAATATAATAACATTAGTTTACAAAAAGAAATAGCATTTAAACAACAGTCAAGGGCCGGCCCAAAAGAGACTGCAAATAAGTGAGGCTATTTATAACATGACAATGGGCCCATAGGGCCATAGCATCTTATCTTGCTCTGCTTGTTGGCTACAAAAGTTTCCATAGACCCACAACATAATCATAATTAGGAATAAATAATCAGGGTATTTCAAATAGGGTTTGTTTAATCTCTTGATTTGGCTGCAAAACACAGCTCCTGAGCTGAGATTAAGAAGCCAAATCCACAAACATTTTTTTTAATGTTGTATGTAAAACGGAGATTATAGAATATAGTATTAATTCCTGATATCAATGTATACCTACCAACCCCCAAAATTTTCTGACTTTTTTTTCTGACTCGAGATCGTCTTGAATTGATCAAAATATCTTATGCCTCCCCATATGGTGTGATGGTCTAGCTACTAGCTACCACGGGAAGTCATCAGTCAGACTTGCAATCGGACACGAAAACACTCTTTGTATGATATCAATATATTTTAAATGATGATTAAATTTTCATAATACGAAATCGAAGAAATCCTACTACTCTGAAGAAAGCTGCAGTCTTTGGTCATAAACTTGAGGGCTCTTCTCTCTTCATCGTGACCACCACTTTCAAATTCTGTGTGAAAAAACCAGTCAAACTAGGTACGCCAAAATCATTAAAGTATTATGAGGTGTTTTATTAAAACCCCATTTTTCTAATCGAAGCAAAAGCTTGACGTGAAGAATTATCAGAGTGGCTTACATATCTATCAAAATTTAAATATTTTAAAGGCTAAAAGTTAAAACTCCAAGAACACGTACAGTCGGTAGCTGCTCAAAAAGAAGACCGAGGTCCAGAAAATAGAACGATCAAATCTAAATCTTATTACTTAAATCACGTCATCTTCGACCCTTTAATTTAATTTATTGCTTTTTCACCTCAAAAAAAACTTGATTGGCTTTGCTAGAATCAAAATCTTCGCTGCTTAAATCATGAGATCTTGTGCAGCTTGTGTTCTGCGTTTAGGTTTTGTTTATTATCTTTAATCTCCGTTTGGTATGCACATAATCAATCTTTGCTAGTAATTAATCACAGGCCAGCACAGAGAGCCCCGCAGGGCCCCACCCATTACTTCGGACCTGGGACCATGTGTAAAGCTTGGTATCATCTGCCAACTGGTTCAACTTAACCAGCATTTTATTTCTTATTTTTGGTTCTTTCATAAGTCAAATTGTTGCTTCAATCCAAAATTGTTTTTTTCTTTATTTTTATAACACAAATAATATTAGAGCAAGGAATTCGAATACAGAATCTCGAGCGTAGGTTAAATGCTTATAACAACTTAAGTTACAATTGCTTCACATCAAAAATTGAAATTAAGACTGTAAATTCATGTTTTAGTCACAATCTTTCTTTGGTCGAATTTTAGTCACAATCATAGAGACCAGAATTTGGAGATTGAATACGGTGCATGTGTACCAAGGATGATGGACTGTTTGACTAACTTTATACAATGAAAAGGAGCAGATAGGGGCACATTCACCTAACGGGTGCTATTAGCTGTGACATTTTTGACCATTTGTGTAGATTCACCTAATATTTCAAAATCAGTTGACAAATGCACGCAGAAAGTGTGGTAAAACTATACACTTTCCTTTCATATACATGTCTTTTAAGAAAGGATGTCGTTGTTTGCGGAATAATAGTAGTATTCGAAATTTCAAGTGTCTCACATCCGGCAATGTAAATACAACATTTGTAAAGTTTTCTATCTTCACAGCACCTATGTGTTACAAGTGACATAAATGATTATTTCATGAATATACAATATCTTCTTCTCCATCATCTAGGGAGGTTTTATTATATAATTGGTGGCTTAGTTAGCTAGACTAGCTGTAAGTTTTTTAAGATTAATGTTTTCTTTAATTTATACAGATCTGTTGCCATTCTTAAATTCCAAATTGAAGGCAAGGCCAAGGAGGAGGTACAAAAGATAAGGGACATCTATTTCTAAGGAACCTACCTTGCAATAAGACAAACAGCCCTCTCTTGGAACCCACTCACCGCATGCATGTGTATGTCTCTACTTCTACTTGTCTATAAAACCCTTTCCTTCTTCATTCAACATCCATCCTTAAGTCTCTCTCTCTCTCTCTCTCTCTCTCTCTCTCTCTCTTCTACATTTTGTTTAGGTAGACTTTAGAGCTAGCTACCAACTAACCATGCCTGCCCAAGTTATGCCCGAAAAAGCCCTCCATGGAATTCATGGGTTGGGAAGGGACAACAATACTACTGCTCCTCCTCCTAAAAGGTACTTTCTCCTTTAACTCAATTTTTCTCAATTTTACTAAAATATTACCCAAAATGCATAAATGTGGAACCTTTTAAAATCTCCTAGTTTGCATGAGAACAGTGCCAAAATGCAAAAATTCATTATTTCCACTGTTCAAATACATTACAAGATTCACACCAGAAAACCAATTAAACTGTTTGATGAAAAAAAAATATTCAGGTTGGATGGAAAAGTTGCTATAGTGACAGGTGGTGCTAGAGGCATTGGAGAAGCAACAGTGAGGCTTTTTACAAGGCATGGTGCCAAAGTAATCATTGCCGACGTGGAGGACGCAGTTGGCGTAGTCCTAGCCAATTCCTTGAGCCCTTCAGTCACTTTTGTTCATTGTGATGTTAGCTTGGAAGAAGACATTGAGAACTTAGTTGAATCAACAATTTCCCGTTACGGGCAGCTCGACATTATGTTCAACAATGCCGGGATCCTCGGAAACCAGTCGAAACACAAGAGCATCATGGATTTTGACACCGACGAATTCGACCAGGTGATGCGGGTGAATGTGAGAGGAGCAGCATTGGGGATGAAGCATGCTGCAAGAGTAATGGTGCCTAGAGGAAATGGAGGGTGCATAATTTCAACATCAAGTGTAGCTGGGGTGGCAGGTGGGCTTGGGCCGCATGCCTACACAGCCTCAAAGCATGCCATTGTTGGGCTCACAAAGAACGCAGCTTGTGAATTGGGCCGGTATGGGATTAGGGTAAATTGCATTTCTCCATTTGGGGTTGCCACGTCAATGCTTGTGAACGCTTGGAGGAAGAGTGGTGATGAAGAAGAAGAAGAAGAGTGCATGGATTTGGGGATGCCATGTGAGCAAGAAGTAGAGAAAATGGAGGACTTTGTGAGAGGGCTTGCTAATTTGAAAGGTCAAACCCTAAGGGCTAAAGACATAGCTGAGGCTGCTCTTTATCTTGCTAGTGATGAATCCAAATATGTTAGTGGCCATAACCTTGTTGTGGATGGTGGAATTACCACCTCAAGAAATTGTGTTGGCTTGTAAGTGTTTTTTTTTCGCTTTTCCCATTCCATGGTGTTGGTATTTTGTACATGCATAGATCACCAAAAGGTTTGCCATTTGTGTTTGGGTTTGTAATAGGTTTCGTTTATCAATTAAATATTCATCCGAATTTTCAAGTGTAAATTTTTCTTCTGGTGTCAAGTTAATGTGTCGGTAGGTATCTATTAGTTAAGTAGAGATATATAGTTTTTACAAAATAGAACCCTTTTAATCTTCAACACTATAATGCATTTTTCAACTTTCTTTTCGATGAGAATGAAAGTGAAATTTACCTGTTTACATGTGTATGCATAACTGATAACTGTTTATTGATATAAATTTTAGTCTAAAATGCCTAAATGCAGAAATGTAAATTTTGAATACAAAGAGTCTAGCATAACAAATTTTGTGAATCACCAATTCTCCAAACAAAACTCTCAACTATATTAAAACAATTAAGCATCATTAACTCTATAAGTCTGCTAATGGAATAGGGTTCGCTTATTGTAGACTAGCCATCCACTAGCATTACTTTTTAGGATTTGAATATGAAGAATATGGGTTAAAGCCTTAAGGGGAAGATGCACATTGGTGTATCAAAAGCTATGTGGGCATGGTTTTGACATCTAAAGAAGAGCTGCACATTTGACCCAATGAAACTAACCCCTTGTATTTTGTATCTTCGTTTTGGAAATGAAGGTTCATTCCTTTCGTTCAAAAAAAAAATAATTAAAAAATCAAGGTCGTTGATTCTGAAAGAGCAAGTAGGAGAAAAGAGACGGGCAGGAAAGTTTGACTAAGTACATGAAATCTGTAGCCTCTATCTATGCTTTAGCCCAAAGTTCGATATCAAATGTTTGTTTAAGAAAACTATGACCCTAATGTTGCTATTTCTTCTCTTTCTCTACCGACGACGACAAGTTACTTTGTTAGGGAATAATTAGAAGTAAACGATTGATGAAAATAAATGACTTGGAGTTCGATCAAAAAATAGAAACAATTTTTTTACTTTTACAAAACGATATTCTAATTCTTCTAATCCAAGTTATACAAAGAAGATTTTGTACTTAAAAGAGCCGAACACACTGCATTAACCAATTGACCTAACTTATTTATCGAAACAAACAAATGAGTAATGAGAATAATTAGAAGTATTGAAGGATAATTGGAATTCCTTTGCCGGATTCCCATTCCCACTAGGGTTTGATACTCCACGGAATCCACGTGCATGCTATATAAAGGAGCATACTCAGCATCTGCACATAGACCCATTTCGGAAAGAAACACTGCCTCTCTCTCTCTCTCTCTCTCTCTCTCTCTCTCTCTCAAAAATAGCTTCCTTTCAGAGCTATAGAGAAATAATAAATTCCCGAAAGGTGATTCTGTACAGCTCAATCAAACCTTGGAAATCAACATTTGATCAGAAAAATTAGATTTTGGAAGCTGTCAATGTTCAAACATTACGGCATAATGAGTTGTCAATTTCTGTCTTCTTCCTTTGTTCAACTATCTAGGACTAAATTAAACCCAGTGGCCTCCCGCTTGTTTCTTTATTTTTTCTCTCAACCAAAAAAAAAAAAAGAAAAAAGAAAAAAGAAAAAGAGTTGATAGGTAATGAGATGCAACCACTGAATAGGTGAGTGCCTGCCTATCCATTGTAAAAGTTCTAACCCACAACTTGTGTTTAATTAATTATAATTATAAGTTTTTAGTCATCTTAATTAATTATGTACAAAGGTAGGAGGGAGACTGATGCATTTCCCCTAGCATCTTGGAGTGGCATGTCACCAATATATAATGTACATATATGATCTACATAAACTATGCTAAAATAGTACAGAAATTGAACCGAACATTGGCAGAGGTCTTTTGTTTAAATGTGTAGTCTCCTAATCCTTATCCAGCAAATATATATATATATATATATATATATATGTTCTCTAATTTAATCCAGTGTTCCAATTTGATATAAATTCACATGAGAATATTCGTCAACTAAAAACATTATTTCCAAAATTAAATAATACTGAAATTTCAACAAAAAAAATATTATTATTTGACCAGAAAGACAAAAACTATAATTACAATTTACAACAGGAGATCTGCTTTGGGTCTGAAATTATGGAGGACAGCCGGAGAGGCCGTGGACTGGACAGAAATGGGCTGCTTTTGCTTAAAGGACACAAATTCAGTTCAATATTTTTAAATCTACCCGGGCATAGCTTTTGCTTAAAGGACACAAATTCAGTTCAATATTTTTAAATCTACCCGGGCATAGCTTTTGCTTAAAGGACACAAATTTACACCACAAAAAATGAAGAGCTTGAAGAAATGTGATGGATGATTTATTTATGACCTAGTTGATGCAAAAGTCAACTCAAACTTAGCTCAATGTATAGCAAATAACTAGGCCTCAACTAGCTCAGTACATACATACATACATTCACCAAGGATGGGGGAGTATACTGGGCTGAATTTGGGCACGTTTCAAATTCTCAGGGAACAAAATCTACCTTGTCCATGTCTATTGACAGACTATTGATGATGTGAGAAATAATCAAACAATTGCTTCTCAAATGACAAATAGATAAGGTAAACATATTTACATTTAGGAGACGGTTTTCATTATCTAATGAAATATTGTGAGATTTACATGCATCAATGATTAATAATCATTAATCGATGAAATAATTGATAACCATCCATTGATAAAGCATTGGGACAAATGTGAACTCATTTTGGACCGTGCATGAAGGCAACTGTACAAGGTAGTTGGAAGAAGGGTAAATGGCGGAAAACCCCCCTGGATTATTCGGCTTGTCGAAATGTCCACCCTGAATTTTTTTTTCAGTCAATTTAGCCTTCGTATTAAATTTAATCGCCAATTTCACCCCCGCCGTTAGGTTTTTCCCAATTTCATCTAAATGCCCGTCAAAAAAACCACGTGAGAGGCACGTGAGTCGTCTGCTGAGGGTAATATCGTCCTTTCGCTGCTCAGCCTCACCTCATCCCCTTTTGACCATTCCTTCGTTGCAGCCAAGGGGATTCGACAAAAATCAAACCCTTTTGGCTGTTGGTTGCAGCCATGGAGATTCGACAGATAGCTTTTTCGAAACCACCCCTTTTCGAAACCACCACTTGTAGTGTTTGAAACCACCACTTCTACTTCGTTTCAGCCTCACTTTTCAAGAACAAGAGAAGAAATTGCAGTCGAAGATACGATGCATTGGAACAGACGTGCAGCTTCTACCGAATCAAGTTCAACCACTTTTATTACGGAGGATGATATGTGTTGTTAATAATATGTTAACTCGCAATTGTACGGGGCAATTAGTAGTATAGCAAGACAAGTACGAGGTCGTACCCACGAAGACTGAGAAGTTCAAATTAGTTATGTACTTTAGATTACCAAATTCAAGAAGTTAGGAAGTTAAATCTAAAACAGAATTTAAAGCAAGAGTGAGTTTGAAAACAAATGCAGCAAGATTAAAATGAACTTTGAAGTGAGAATGCTTGTGATTATAGAAAGAAATGAACAAACTGAAATTGCAACGGAAAGCAAGTAAACAAAAGTAACAAAGGGTGGTTTTGAAAGTTAAAACACAGGTTTGGAGACTAGGGCATTCGATTCACCATAACAATTCAATTCTGGGTTATAAAGATTCAAGTAACAAGTCTAATTCAGATTCAAAGATTGATTCTAGCTAAAGTATGATTAGGCCATGGTGTTTGGTCCTAACCTTGTGTTCCTAATTCCCTAATTTGATCATTTGTTGTCTAACCTAAAATTAAGCATTAGGAACCCATTAAGCATAGAAGAACATTTTAAACAACCAAGTATGTATCTAATCCCTGTTGTCGAATGTCCATACATACTCTTCCTATTCATAGTTCAATTCGAATTAAAGCATGGTGTATACTCTTAATTCAAACCAAGATAGCTAACATGCAAGCCTAAATGGTGATCAATCATTCAAACTAGCATATTAACTTATAAGCATAATGAATAAGAACATGAATCATGAATCAAACTTGAAACTCCAAACCTATAAACCCAGAATATTCATGTTAGGTTACATCAAAGCCCTAGTTATGGATTTAGCTACTCATAAAGGAAAAGAGACTTGAACAGAAATGAGAAAACATAATAAATACAATAAGAGTAGAAAAACCCTTTTTCTGAAGTTCCTGTGGTGTCCAAGGCTTCTCCAAGTGCTTCTCCAAGAGCTTCCCCACTTCTCGAAAGATGATGAAGGATATGGAGGTGATTTGGGATGAGTTTGAATGAGTGGTGATGGCTGAGAAAGAGGAAATTCGTAGGGAAATGGAAGGGAGGTTTTCTGGAGCTGTTTTGGTGATTTTGGGACAGTTTAGAGTATTGGGTTGATTGCTTGAGTGATTGGGGTTGTGGGAATGTATGAGGATGATTTATGGATGATGGAAGTGTGGAGGATGGCTGAAGTGAAGTTTGTAGCTTGAAGACTCCTCTATTTATAGGGCTAAGAGGGAGGAACATTGTTAAGCTCATAATTTCATACATATACATGCCCAAATTTACTTACTTCTTTTGCTTAGTTTCCTAGATTTCTATGTTATTTGCCTCTCTTTGTGTGTTTTGTAGGCAAAAAGAGCAAGAGAGCATAATTCATGCAATTCAAGCATGTTAAGGCCTAATTTGGATGAATGGAAGAAGAGCTTAAAACAACAAATCCTGAGATTCACAACCCCCACAATTCACTCCAACCATCCTCAAACACTCCAACAATCACCAAAACAACTCCAGCAAACCTCTCTTCCATTTCCCTACGAATTTCATCTTCCTTAGCCATCACCACTCACTCAAACTCATCCCAAATCACCTCCATATCCTTCATACATCTTTCTAGAAGTGGGGAAGCTCTTGGAGAAGCATTAGAAGTGGAGAAGCACTTGGAGAAGCCTTGGACACCACAAGAACTTCAGAAAAAGGGTTTTTCTACTCTTATTGTATTCATTATGTTTTCTCATTTCTGTTCAAGTCTCTTTTCCATTATGAGTAGCTAAATCC